AAACAAATAATATTGTGCTTATTGTTTTCTACTATTATTTTTTCTATCTTCACAGCCCGTACTTTTCCAAGTCGAAAAAACAGCTAAAAGTTGAGAATTCAAAATTGTCATTTCAAAATTTGTGGACTGTTCGGGACTGTTTCCTTACTTGAAAGAAATTAAACTTTTTTGAAGATTTCAACCCACTCAGAATTCTCTTCAAGTAATGCATGTTGGGAAATCCCAACCTTCTCCTGGTTCTTTCTCTTTATTCAGTTTTTTATTATTATTTTTTCTATCTTCATGGCCCAAAATTTCCCAACTTTTCCCAACTCTTTCCCAAGTCGAAAAAGCAGAGGGGGAGGCTCCCACACATCCCTCCCATGGCGACAGCCCTGATTAGTATCATTATAAGCTTTTAATATGAACTTCAACAGTTCTGCATAATCTGATGATACATTTATTGTTTCTGAAAATTTCACGAAGTCGAAGGGAAATAGGAATTCATCTCGGAAATCAAGAACATTATTGCAACTTACATTCAGTGGTTTATATTTATTTTTTTTTTCACTTAAATATCTTGCCAAGTGTCATGAATTTCTGAGCACTATTAATTTTCATGGAAAACATGAACAACACGTATCGACTCAACTCACTCACATACATACTTATTATTATCATTTCCAGAAGAAAAATTTACTTCTAATTATTATACACTGTGTATGATGAGTAAGTAGTACGATATTTAAAACTATTATTCTTGTGACTATAGGACGTGAGAATAGAGCAATCATCATCTTGAATTATCTGCGGCTTCTTATAGTTGCAGAGAGATAAAGAGTCACAAAATGAGGCATCCACCTTATTGAAAATCGTTTTTCAACATTAAGTGTTTGAATGTCACTGTCCACTTCATACATTTCGCAGAATTATTTATTGTTCGAAAACAAAAAGCAGTGACCATTATTTAGTTTAACCGCCAGCTAACACTAGCATTAGTTTAATTTATTCCTAAATTTCATCATATGGCCTCCCCTCGATTTCTAAAACCATCTATTTCCAACATGGAAATCAGTTCATAATTTCCTCATTACAGCAATTCAATCCTCTTCAGTGCTTTGTTCATGTATATTTTTTTTTCATTCATACTGAATTTTAAGTTGACAATCGAAACTATCACAACAGAAAATACGTACCAAAAGACAAAGTTATTGGACCATTACAAGGTTCCACAACAGAGAGGACAAGATGCCCTGTGGAACAGCCCCTAATTACCCTAGTCTGTAAAGTGTCAAATAACAATTGTGGAAGTTTATAAAACCAAAGGAATCAGGAAACATTGATTCCTTATCATTGAAAAGGGCATTATAAAAATCTGTTCCATTGTTATTTAATATTTCACACCATTTCCTTATATTACTTTGACTTGTAGAAATGCTATACTCAAGCAATTTATAGGAATTGAAATCCTGAGTGATAATGAAATATTTCTGTAAAGATGCTCTGAACGAAAATTTATTCGAATTGGAAGAAAGATACGAATATAAATTGGATTGAATTGTTATTCATTTGAAATTATGCTTCGAAGGATTCTTTCTATCCATATTAGTAATAATTTAATCGATAGAAGCTTGTACCGAAAATATTCTTTTTATATTCATTTTAAACGAAAATTTCTCTTTTGAATAATTTCGAATCATTCGCCCAGTACTTCTCAATTCATGAGGAATGAAACATAATTAACGATCTTGGAAGCACTACATAGAAGCCAATGGGGTTTGGAGTGAAAAAAGATAGTCCCTTTCACCGTTCACGGCAAAATAACTGAACCACTTTTACTTTTGTTTGGTTCTGATGAGAAAACGCGTGACCGGGGAATCCGACCAGGTGTGGTCGATATGTCTCGAAAATAAATGGCCTTGATCAACAATGGAAGTGATCTTATTTATTTCTTGTTGAATAACAGCGAAAGTGGTGAACATTAATCAGATTCATTTTTACTTTGAATACTTTTTGGACATATGTACAAAAATGGTTGGAGTGGTGAAAATATTATGAATCAGAAGGCAGTGAAATTTGGGTTGTAGTTATTTTTACAAAGCTTATTGTTACTATGATATATATCGTTAGTGAACAAAATAGTAATATGTATAGTAACCCAAAATCCAAGCCTTCATTGACGATAAGTCTGACTATTAATAAATAATATGATTGCCTAATGATTACAAGATTGAAACTTTGTGAAGTGACTAACAATCGCTGTATTGTAAGTATCACAATGAAGTTAGTTTTGATGTTGATGATGCGTTCACACCAAATTATGCAATTATTCAAACAATTGATGAAATGTGTTGTTACATTCATATTGCGGCTGCAAAATTAGAGAGAGAAAAACAGCAGACAAATGCTTCGCAAAGCAGTGCAGCGGCGTCAACTTCACAGCATTCTAGTGCTTCTCAGGGTGATACGGGTCTTCTGGGAAACACCAGTTTTGCGAGAAATCTTCCTTCGCTTCCAAAAATTGAACTTCCTGAATTTTCTGGTGATATTTGAGAGTGGGAAACGTTTTACTCAATTTTCAAAAGTTTAATATACGATAATAAATTGCTGACGAATGTTGATAAAGTCAATTATTTAGTGGGCCGTTTGAAGGGCTCTGCATTCAGTGTTTGCACGGGATTGGCTCCTACTGGGGACAATTATGATATTATTTGGAAATCTCTTGTTGACAAATATCAAGATGAACGTTCATTAGCGACTAGTTACTTGGATCAGATTTTGGGATTTAGGCATATACGGGGGGAATCAGCAAAAAATCTTGAATAATTTTTGGAAAAATTCGATTGTGCGGTACAAGCCTTGAAAAACCTGAAGATGAAGGATTTGGCAGATTTTATTCAGATTTTATTTTGGTGCATCAGACACTTGTAAAACTGGATTCGGAAACGGTTAAATCTTTCGAAATGTCTGTTCGTGGTAAGGGTATACCAGCTTATGAAGACGTAATAAAATTTGTTAAATAGCAAGCTAAAATACTCAAATTGAACCGAAATGCTACAACTGGTAGGGGGAATTGTGTTGATACGAGATCGCGTTTAACAAATAAATCTTTCTGTGTCACCCAAGACAACAGATCGGATAATAAAGAAAAGACAAACACTTGTATGTTTTGTCATAAGGGTAGGCATTTTTTGAGAAGATGTGAAAAATTCAAGCGGTTGACTCCATCTAAACGTTATACATTGATTCGTGATAATAATTGGTGTTACAATTGCTTGTCTCCAAATCATGGTATAAGATCTTGTCCGTCTGATCGGGTTTGTTCGGAATGTACCAGAAAACATCATTATTTATTGCATTTAGGGAGACCATTGGCCGGGGTACAACATGACCAAGAAGTACATGGGCCTGTACCAAGTGAAGTTAATGCTAGTAGTGACGTCTCGAATACGAATACTACATCGGAACTTTTTTGTGGAACGGCAATAAAGAATCGTAATAATACAGTATTATTATCAACGGTGATAGTAAACGTTCTGAACGGGTCAGGTCAAAGTCAAACGGCTAGATTTTTATTGGATAGCGGCAGTCAGGTTCATCTCATCACTCAAAAATGTTCAAAAAAATTGGGATTGGAAATATCTCGTTGTTCTGTTTCGGTACAAGGAATTGGTTCTAATACACATTCGGTAAGAGGTATCACAGACATCATCGTGGCGTCTCGGTATGATTCATCGAAGAAATATTTCATGCAGGCGCTTTTAGTTGATAAAATTTCTGATAGACTTCCAAGAGTAAAAATTGAACGGAGTTTTTTGAGTAGTTTTGGAGATATTCAACTAGCTGATAATAAATTTGATGAGCCGACAGAAATTGACGGTATCATTGATGAACCCATTGATGAACCCAAATAAAAACCTCTCAGTCACTCCTGTGAAATGGAAAAGCATATTAAGAATTTTGAATTGAGTACAGTTGAGACAGAAATATTATCTAACCTGGCAGAATGTAATGAAGTCGTGAAAATAAACAACAATAAGGCAAATTTTAAGATAATCCACAATAATATACGGAGTATACATAAAAATTTCAACGACTTATTATGTTACTTGTAACAACTAAATGATAAACCAGAAGTTATTGTTCTCATTGAGACGAGACAAATTCAAGATTTGAATTTATATCATATCGATGGTTATAACATAGTATACAATGAAGGAATGTACAATCAGAATGATGGTGTAATGATGTTCATTAAATCAGATCTTGAGTTCACATATGAAATAGTGAAGTTGAGCAACGAAAACAACATGATCTTTTGCCATATTTATTTCAATAACAGAAGTTTATCTATTCTCGCTATGTATAAAAACCCTCCCTATTGTTGTAAACTGTTTGTAAATTCTTTGAAAGCATATCTCACACAATGCGAAAATAGTGCAGATTATTTCCTCTTTCTTGGAGACATAAATATTGACATAATGGATGAGAATATGGATATATCAACAATTGAATACCTGAATCTTATGGGGAAATTTGAATTTATGTCTTTGATAAATAATTATACAAGGGTGACAGAAAATACAAAATCTTGTCTGGATCACATGTTTATTAGAACTAAATCCGACACTGATTTTTTACTACCTATAATCATTACAACAAAACTCACAGACCACTATACTACATATCTCCAAATAGTACTAGATAAAAAAATTAATGAAACTGAACGGTTTGTGAATAATTATACAGCAGTAGACTATAATAAACTTAGGACGCATATTCAGACGGTTGACTGGGAACCAGTATATCGCGCAACTAAACTAGAATCTGCAACAANTGATTCATCGGAGAAATATTTCATGCAGGCGCTTTTAGTTGATAAAATTTCTGATAGACTTCCAAGAGTAAAAATTGAACGGAGTTTTTTGGGTAGTTTTGGAGATATTCAACTAGCTGATAATAAATTTGATGAGCCGACAGAAATTGACAGTATCATAGGTGCGGAGCTCTTTGCAACGGTGATGGGGAACAAGAGTTATGCTCCTTCAGCGGGATCACCAGTGGCGGTACAAACTGTTTTTGGGTATGTTATAATGGGAAAAGTTCCAATATTTAACTCGGTTTCAGACTCGAATGTATTTTTCAAATTGAAAGAAGAATCATCTCTGAATGAACTTATGACAAAATTTTGGGTAATTGAGCAAGTTCCAAAAAACACTGTACCGGATGTTGAGGAATTAGAATGTGATAAAATGTACACTAGTACTTTCAACAGAGATTCAGAAGGGAGATTTACGGTAGCTCTTCCTTTTAAGAATTCACCTAGTACACTGGGTGATTCTAAAACTGGCGCTATGACACGATTGTATTCCTTAGAAAGAAGATTGACAAAATTTCCTGAATTGCGTTCAGGTTACAATGATATTATGAGAGAATCCATTAAACAAGGTCATATGCATTGGGTAAGGGATGCATATTTGAAAGCAGCGGATACAACGTACTACATTCCTAACCATGCTATTTTCGAACCTGATAGTTCCAGCACCCCGATTCGAATAGTGCTGGATGCTAGTGCATCCTCCGATAGTGATATTTCTTTGAGTGATATTCTATATGGAGGCCCGAAATTGCAGACGGTTATTTTTTCTTTGTTGTTGAATTTTAGACTTTTTAGAATTGCGATCACTGCAGACATTCGTAGAATGTACCACCAGATCAAACTAGTGAACTATCATTGGTGATTTCAGAGCCTTCTTTGGCGTTTCAGTCCAGAAGAACCAGTTCAAGTGTACGAGTTCAATCGGTTGGCATTTTGGGTCAAGACAAGTCCTTACTTGGCTCTACGTACAGTCAAACAGGTGATAAAAGAGGATCGATACATGGATGATTTGGTGTGTAGTGTATCTTCGGAAGAGGAAGCTCTGCGGCTATATTCAGAATCGGTAGCAATGTTTGCAGAAGGAAAGTTCTATTTGACAAAGTGGTCTTCGAGTTCGTTGGAATTGTTGGAGAAAATCACCTGTGAAAAGAGGTTATCACAGCCTGTGCTTTTTGAGACAGAAACAAAAATATTAGGAATGTTCTGGAATCCTGAAGTGGATAGTTTTAGGTTTAAGTTTCCAGTTTCAGGATCTATCTGCACTAAACGTTTAATCTTGTCCACAGTGGCGCGATGTTATGATCCAGTAGGATTGTTGGCACCATTCATTTTGTATTTGAAACTTCTGATAAAGGAGCTATGGAAACTCAAAATAGGTTGGGATGACATAGTCCCCTATGAAGTTATCCAGGAGATTCAGTTTTCGCGTTACATGGGAATCGTGAGAACATCTCCAATAATGTTAGTAGCTTTTGCGGATGCCAGCATGGATGGATATGGAGCTGTGGGTTATGTGCAAACAGTAACAGAAAACAGAGAAATTGCTGTTAATTTGTTATGTGCGAAATCCAAGGTTTCCCCCTTCAAGATTGTTACAATTCCTAGACTAGAGTTAGTGGCATACTTTCACAAAAAAAATTGCTTAGTGTTTTTAATGAAGCTTCTCCATTTCAAAACATTAAACTTAAGAAAAAGAAGGCTTGGATGACAAAGGGCATAAAAGTTTCAGCTAAAAATTTGAGGTGTCTCTACTATATTCGCAAATATTTCAGAGAGCATGTTCTCTTCATCACCTACTATAACAATTATCGGAACAGTTATAGAAAAATCATAAAAAATGCGAAAACAACTTATTACAGCAATCGAATACCAAATGCAAATAATAAACAGCAGGAAACATGGAAAATCGTTAACAAATTAAGAGGAAAAAGCAAAAAATCTTTTGTTGATAGTGAACTGAGTTCAAACGAATTAAACACTTACTACTGTTCCATTGCTCAAAAAGTAGCAAAAAAAATATCAACCAATGAGAACCCAATGAGTTACCTTAGGCATGTAGCCATATCGAACTCATTCAACTATTCCCCAACCTCTGGAAATGAAATAAAATAAATTTTCTCTAGCATAAAAAATAAAAACTCTTCAGGATGGGATGATCTCCCACTTAAAATTTTCGTTAAACTGCCAAACACTGAATTAGATATCTTAGCAGAAGCTATAAATAAATCTCTCATAAATGGTATTTTTCCAGATTGCCTAAAAACTGCTGAAGTTATCCCATTATTTAAAGGAGGCGATTCTAATATACCTGCGAACTTCAGGCCTATTTCTTTACTGACAACTCTATCTAAAATCGTGGAAAAGTTAATAAGAAAGAGAATCCTAAATTTTCTTGACAAAAATCATATTCTTCACTCCAATCAATATGGCTTTCAAGCCTCTAAGAGCATAAATGATGCAATGTTTGCTTTTTTAGAAGAACTTTACCTTCGACTGAATATTGGTGAGGCTGCAGTGGCAGTATTTTGTGATCTAACAAAAGCATTTGACTGTATTGATCACGAAATATTGCTTCAAAAATTTGAAATCTACGGATTTAGAGGAAACATCTTGTTGTGGTTTGAGTCATATCTATCAGATCGTGTTCAAGTAGTGAATTTCAAAAGTTCATCATCAGATAAAATTAGCATTAAATGCGGAGTACCTCAGGGATCTGTCCTCAGGCCTTTGCTGTTTTTATTATATATTAATGATCTGGCATGTATATCGATTGAAGGCAAATTCACATGTTTTGCTGATGACACAAGTCTATTCTTTGGCATGGAAGAAGCACTGATGCACTAAAAATTAGGGTAGAGCATGATATAGGCAAAGTTAAACAATGGTGTGATGCCAATTTATTATCTTTCAATATATCGAAGACTAATATAATGTCCTTTGAATGTAACCTGGACCATATAATTCTTGAAGAACACATCATTGATCATAAACTAGAGAACAAATTTTTAGGCCTCAATATAGACAACAAATTAAAATTTGGAACGCATATTAGTATACTATGCAAAAAATTATTTTCAAGTTGTTATGCGATAAGGTCTATCTCTAACTCTTTGGACTGTCACTCTGCTAGAAAAGCATGCTTTGCACTTTTCGAGTCCCACTTGCGGTACGGAATTTGTTTCTGGGGGAACAGCTGTCAGAACTTATTGAGTCAAGTTTTCACAATACAAAAAAGAGCAGTGAGATTCATTACCGAAGCTAGAGTGCAAGATTCCTGTAAGCCTCATTTTTTAGCACATCACATCTTAACAGTCTACTGCCTCTTAATTTTAGAAACAGTCTGCCTAATGCACAAAAAGCACAAAGATAACATCTCGAACTCAACTCAGAATTATGCCACTCATCTCACATTCAATATTCCTCTCCGTATCCCGTCAATAGCACAAATTAAAAATTCGATTCTTTATAATAGCAAAAAATACTTCAATCATTTTCCCCTTTCAATCAGAAAGTTAACATGCTACAAACAGTTTCGAAAAAGAGTAAAAAAACTTCTGCTAGGTAAAGCTTATTATACTATTGAGGAATTTCTTTCGGATGACTTCGCAACTTATAATTCCAACTTATAAAATTTTTCATCACAGACTTTTATCCATAGACATTTTGAAGTGTGCTTGAGCCACATTAATATCTTATTTTAATTATTGACCTTTATTTTAATGTTTCAGATTGTTTTAGTTCTTAACCCTGCTTTGTCAACAAAACCTAAACTTTTATGACAATAAAGCATTTATGACTCTGACCATACAAACTAATCGGCTTCGTTAAGCAGCTGGGTTAATTTGGTCGAGTGTGAGCCACAATAAACCTTTGCGGGTTGCGGTGTAGGATCGAATTGACCCACTCACTTTGGACCTAACCTAACCTACATCAAGCCATGGACACAATTTTAAATTAGTTTTGAAAAAATTTTATTTTTAGTTTGTGTTGCTCTTAAAGAGTGTTTTTTTTTTTTAGTTTTTTGAACTATTATCTTGGTATCTTGAGACATGGGAGTAATAGTCCTGTGGCTTGATTGGCACTTGGTCTACAACTCTAAAATCGATGAAATTCCAAGGATTCATCTGTTGAAGCAACCTATCAGCATTTTTGGTTAGCTTTTCCTCAAGAAATGGGGGATTTTCATTAAAAAAAGATTGAGTAACGCCAAAGTTCAACATTTTTGCCCCAGTGAGGTTTATTCCATTTGGCTTATACTTTACTACATCCACCTTAAACAAAAGACTTTAGGAGCTTTCAGGTAATTTTATTACCTGAATTGGCGTGTATTTGGGTATTTAATCAAAAATACTTTATAAACTAATGACTATGTTTGTTTATTTATGTACAGTCAATATTGTTACTACATTTCAATCTAAACTATTTACATAATGATGAATAAGCGTGTTTATTTAGGAAGATATTGAGGATAAACAAAAATTATGTTGCCTCATCATCAGATGATTCTTTGTCGAATTTTATGATTGAAGGTTCTACAATTTCCTCAACTGAATGATGTGATTTTCATATGTTATCCTGTTTTTGTATGTCACGTTCAATACATTTTTTGCTATTTTTTGGAATCAATATTTTTTAAGAACTCCTGACATCTTTCATTTTGAATGTGTTTTTTCTTGCACAAAACCCTTAACAATCGAGTTCAATGGGATTAAGTTTGCAATGATAAGGGGGCCGATGCAGAATAATAGTATTTCGTTTCTGTATCATCTTGCAGATTACATAACAGTTGAGCTGAAAAGTTCGTAGGTTAATATAGAAAAAAAATTCTTATTAAATTTGATTTCATTATTTAACAAAGTTGGCTTTGGGGTCGATACAACAGTTTTGTTGAATAGATCTGTACTATATACCATCATCTCTGGGAAGGTTTCACCACCTGATAACGGATTTGTGTCATCTGCAAAGATAGTTTTGAACTGACGTTGGTTTAGGTTTAGATTACATAAGTCGTTCAAATAAATGGTGAACAAAAGAGGGCCGGCAATGCTCCCCTGCGGAATTCCCACGACTCTGGGATGGATGTCGGATTCATAGACTATTCCATTTCGTTTTATTTCTACGGATTGAAGGCGATCTGAACCTCCAATTTCATATCTTTCTAATTTTATTAACATGCTTATACAGAGTGGTCCAACGAAAAGTATGCACCTTACTTTTCTCCTTTTTTTTGTAACTTAACGCAAAAATGCTCGGACAGGTCAATTTTGCTTTTGAGGGGGACACATTTTAGATGTATTTTTCTACCTGTGCCTTCAACCCCCTAGCGAGGGTGAGTAACAACCCTAAAATTTTAAATGGAAAGTGGGGTCGAGCGATATATCATTTGAAAGGGCACAAAATTCTCTTTCCAATGATACCTAATTTGTTGTATTTACACTACTTTGAAATGTGTAATTGACTTGGTAGAATCCTACTTCAGCAAGTGCTAAAAATATGACCCATTTGCTTCCATACAATAATACAGATTTTGTTCAAATCTATTCCTAACATTCTGTAGCATATCAGGTGTTATACTTCTGCACTCTGCTGGAATTCGTTGGCGAAGATCTTCTATGGACTCGGGCTGCGTAGCAAAACATTTATTTTTCAAGTGTCCCCAAAGGAAAAAGTCTAAAGGCNATGTACATAAAACGTAACCAAAAAGAACTAATGAGGAATGAAGACACTCATATGTATAATACTAGGAATAAAGAAAAACTTCGACAACCCTATTCAAGGTTATCAGTCTGTGAAAATTCACCAAAGCATATTGGTATCAAGTGTTTCAATAAAATAAGAGATTTGATAGATGTGAATCTGAATGACATTCTATTCAAAAATAAATTGAAAAACTTTCTTCTTGAAAAAGTATTTTATAATGTTGAAGACTTTTATAATTCGTGATATCTCATAATTGTAAGACTGACTATTGTATGTACAATTTATCTGGTTTGTTTCCGATTAACAACTTATTTGTAGATTACCTTCTTTTCTTTCTTGACTAGTCTGATAAGTGTTATGTATGTGTATGTATAATGCCTTGTATAACCTTTGATTGATGAATAAATTCTATTATTATTATTATTATTACTTTTCGTTGGACCACTCGATATGGCCATTGCATGGCCATTGTGAAGATTGGCTTCACAATGGAGGTTTTTAATCCTGTTGGGAATATGCCATACCCCGTATTATACCACGCCGCCCGTGCCATATAAAGAAACTGCCGACGTTCTGTAACTATTCACTTTTTGTGCCATTCGAATCGACTTCGTATATACTTTACACTGTTGAATATTTGCCTGCCATTAAGAAAACCTTGTACACCTCTTTCTGAAAGTGCTGTTATGAATTTTTGTTTTCAATTGTATTTTTTTTTCAGGTTGTTGGAGCCTTAGGTACAGAAACTAATAGACCCTCTTCTGCAGCACAATGCGTAGCCTATATTGCGGTAACAGAATTGCCTCAGAGGCAATGGCCAGATTTAATAGCAAATCTGGTCAGCAATGTATGCCAAGGAAACTCTACAGAAATGCAGAAAGAAGCTACCCTGGAGGCCATCGGCTACATTTGCCAGGAGATTGATTCTGATGTACTCGTAACCCAGTCGAATGATATATTAACTGCCATCGTTCACGGAATGAGAGCCACCGAACCGAGCAATCACGTACGTTTAGCCGCAACGCAAGCTCTGCTCAACTCTCTGGAATTCACGAAAGCCAACTTTGACCAACCTACCGAGAGGAATTATATAATGGAAGTTGTGTGTGAGGCAACTCAGTCTCCCGAGTCTCAAATAAAAGTCGCCGCCCTCCAATGCTTGGTTAAGATAATGTCGTTGTACTATCAGCACATGGAACCTTACATGGCTCCGGCGCTCTTTCCGATCACGCTGGAAGCGATGAAATCCGAAAACGATGCCGTGGCCTTACAGGGCATTGAATTCTGGTCGAACGTGAGTGACGAGGAAGTAGATCTCGCGATTGAAGATTCCGAGGCTACTGAAGCGGGAAGGCCTCCAGCTAGGTAAGTTCAGATATGTGGCACAACACATTAAAAGTGACTTAAACTTTATAAATGTTACTGAATTTATATCACATCGATGGTTATAACATAGTATACAATGAAGGAATGTACAATCAGAACGATGGTGCAGTGATGTTCATTATAATAATAATAATAATATTTATTCATCCTTTGAGACGTTAACAACGTATAGGACATGTCAGTACAACACGTTAAAATAGAAAAAAAAAAACATACATTAAGATAAAATATCTCAGTAGTTTTAAAGTATAAAATGTATAAAATATAAAGAAAAAAAAAANAATAATTTGCTTTACAGTAACAATAGACATATCATCAATACCAGCTGAATTTTTGTTCCTCATATTATCTAAAGTTTTCAAAACTTCAAGCGGTGAAATTTCTGAGAGATCGAATTCATTTTGAACGACAATATTCTTGGCAAAAGTACATGGTAGAATTAAGTTACATCCAAAATGATCCGAAATTGCTGTTGCAGCCGCTGAAGAGAAATGCCTAGCAAACAAATCTGCAACCGTATGTTGATCTTCAATTTCTTGATTGTTATATTTCAAAGCTATACATGCTGGATTTTTATTTTTATAATCCTTTGTTGGTTCTTACCATTCTCAGGTGTAAGTCATTTCTAACCCTTGTATTATTCTCATAAAACTGGTTGTTGACTAGTAGATCGTTGTTGCTTTTGGTTCTTTTGTTTTTCATTTTATATATTTTCTTGCATTGCTCAAGTTTAAGTAGTAGTAAGTGTAGTTCAGTCTGTGAGAATAAATCATTTGTGTGGGTTCGAAATGGAATTTGAAATAAAATTTTTATTGATTTGTCTTGTGGCATATTTTGTATTGTTTGAATTTTTTTGAAATTAGTAATGCCACAATTATCCCATATGATTAACAGATACCTAAGATTTGCCAATATATATGCATTGTAAACTAAGTGTCTATTACTGAAGCTCAAGTAACTGGAACACCTATATAGAGCTCCTGACATTGGTACAATTTTATCATTAATATGTAGTATGTGTCCTGACCAATTTAACTTATCATCTATTATGAGTCCTAAATACTTGGTTTTTGCAACATTCATTTAGGGTAAGTTATTTATTCTTGATTCAACATCTCCACAAATTCTATTTTTTTGTTTAAATAGCATGTAAACGGTTTTTGCAGAATTCACCTTAAGTTTATTATGTGCAAGCCAATTTGAGTATTTCGAGAGATCTTCATTAACTGTGTTCTCCAGTAAATGTAAATCATATCCACTGTACAAAAGGACTGTGTCATCGGCGAACGTGAAATACCTTCCGTCAAGCCCGACCTGCCTCAGTGACCATCAGTGTATACAACAGGGGTCCCAAAACGGATCCCTGTGGTACGCAACAATTATTTTTTATATACTCACTCATGCTCTCACCAACAGCAACTAACTGGGATATTTCCTTCAAAAATGTCTCAATGAGAGAATGAGTTTTGCCCTCAAATTTATTTTTGCATAAGAATGTGTGTGTCAGAGCGAGAGGATGGGTTTTCATAAGAGCGTGTGTGTAGAAGTGAGAGGGGTCTGTTTGTCATATGTGTGTGAGAGAGATGGAGATGGTATTGAGCTGATCCGTTTCAAAGATAACAAACGTTTGGCAGCGCAAACAGTTTGGTGTTGTCGGATGTAAAATAAAACGTCGTTTATGGGGGCGATGTGGCTTATGAGGCGTTGCCGGTTTTTTGAAATTAAGCGTGGGAAAAATGACGTCAACGGCGATGATTAGCAGGGTCTAACGTTTCAACGTGCGATCCAACATGCCAGAAGGGCACTGAGCAGCATTTTCGTTTGAGAAAAAACGGTAACGAGGGTCTAACGTTTCAACGTGTGATCCATCATGTCAGAAAGACATTGAGCAGCATCTTCGTTAACCAAGTTGACATCATCAGAGCATTATCTTGAAGTTATGCGCTGCAATCGGGAAGTCCTTCAGCCAGTGTACAATTTTTAAATATTTGCAGTGATTTTTATATATGCTTGCATAATAGATTTAAGTACATTATATTTCTGCCAAAAAATAAATATGAATTATGAGAGTGATTTGATGTTTTCCCAAATAGTTTTTTTCGGGTATTTGAATTTGGATGGTTGTCTTTCAGCTCTTTCCCTACATAATGCCTGTAGGGTCTCCAAGTCAGTTTCATTTTTGGCAAAGCGGATTCCTGGGTCTGATAGTCTCTCCTTTATAGGTTTCACTTTTGTAGTTCTATAAAGTAGTGTGTTTGAGGAATTGTGTAGTATGTTCTGAGGGTGACGCATTTTGTTAATACTCCTTATTGTAGATGTTTCAGCTGTTTGGAGATTTTTTAATGCAGGATTAAGGCAACTTGAATGAATTACATGTGCATATTCGAGAAATGAACGACAGATCATTTTATATATTTCAGTTGCAGTTTTAGGGTTGATTCTTCTTTTTTTAAATGTCAGACTCCGGAAGTGTTTTACTCTATTGATGCATTTCTTTTTACAGCCACTTATGTAAGCATAGAATAAAACATCTCAGCCATCTCTGAGTGATTGCAAACTGCTCTATGCATATATTTTGTATTTCACCTTATTTCGATTGTTCTGAGGAAGGAAATTGAAATTTCCGAAAACTGACAAAATAACTGACAAAATAACATGTCAGTAACATCATATACGATTTCATATAGGTATTTATTTCAACTCGGGAACACTGATTTACTTTTGATTTTGTTCCAGAGTTTCCAGACATTATGCAAAGGGAGCCCTACAGTACATCGTTCCCATCCTGCTTCAGAAACTCACCAAACAAGAAGAACTCGATGATGAAGACGATTGGAATCCGAGTAAAGCAGCAGGAGTTTGTTTGATGCTTCTCGCCACATGTTGCGAAGATGAGATCGTTCCCCACGTTCTGCCTTTCATCAAAGACAACATCAAATCCGATAATTGGAGATTCAGAGATGCTTCGCTGATGGCGTTCGGGTCCATCCTCGGCGGATTGGAAAGCACGACTTTGAAGCCGTTAGTCGAGCAAGCCATGCCGACTTTGATAGAGCTCATGTACGACAATAGCGTTATTGTGAGAGACACAGCCGCGTGGACATTCGGTAGAATATGCGAAATAATACCAGAAGCAGCCATAAACGAAACGTATTTGAAACCTCTTCTGGAAAGTTTGATAACCGGTCTCAAGGCCGAACCCCGGGTCGCCGCTAACGTATGCTGGGCTTTCTCTGGTTTGGTCGAGGCGGCGTACGATAACGCCGATGTTAGCGACGAAATGGGAACGCCAGACACATACATTCTCTCTCAGTACTTTGAGTTCATCATTCAGAGACTTCTTGAGACTACGGACCGGCCGGACGGCGCTCAGGCCAATCTCAGACCAGCTGCCTACGAGGCGCTGATGGAAATGGTGAAGAATTCTCCGAAAGACTGCTACGTCACCGTACAGAAAACTACGATGGTGATTCTGGAGCGGCTGCAGCAAGTGCTTCAGATGGAGACGCATATAAGTAGTCACAATGACAGGTCGCAGTTCAACGATCTCCAGTCTCTTTTGTGCGGAACTCTGCAGTCGGTTCTCAGGAAGGTCACTCCTGAAGATGCACCACAAATATCTGATGCGATCATGACAGCAATGTTGACCATGTTCAATTCAAATTCTTGTAAAAATGGAGGTAAGTTCGTTTCATTTGTTTGCCACACACAAGGAGGTATTTCCTCCTCTTATATTATTTTCATCTACCCTGCAACCTATTTACAACTGTTTTTTTTTATTTATTAATTTCAAGGGGCAAGACCATTCACAATTATTTTGACAAATGTATATACAGTGCATTTCTTTAATGTCCCCCCCTCTCATTTTTTGAACGGGTTGAAGTGAAATTGACAGATGACACTTTCAATATGGCGACTGGGCGCCATTTGGAAAAAAAATTAAATGGAAAGGGTCTTGTGATACATCATTTTAAAGCTCCTGACGAATACTTCACAACTCTAGAATATGAAGTCAATATCTTCACGTACTACGAAATGGCGGAACATTTAATAATTTCCTGAAGACAAACACATTAACACAGTATTTCTGTATACAGTAGTTTCACTCAGTGTCGGTCCCTTTGATGTCGGTGTCCAGGAGTTTCATTTTTTATAATGATGACGTATTTGACACTAATGACATTTCTCCCTACTACAATCTCAACCAAAGCGTGTATACACTGCTCAACATAACAACTATTCATTCTGGGTCTGCGTGTAGAAAATTCAAACCAAAAATCACCCGAAGTGGGATTACTGTATATAGTATACTGTGACATTAATATCGATTGGAGTGAACCTCAATATGGAGGACAATGATGTCGATAAACTGCTCTGCAGTAAAAAAAGTTATGAAATGTGAAAAGTGTGACAAAGTGTACCATGAAGCATGTGCTGAACGTAAAGACTGTTGTAGAACCACCCTAGCTAATGAAATAACAAATATAAATCGGAATGATAACCTATTAACGATGAGGTTATATTCTGAAATCAATGGCTCAAAAGAAGAAAATAAAGGCCCAAAGGATGAAATGACTAAATTAAACACTGAATTGAAAAAGAAAAATGATATAATTAAGGAGATGAAGAACAAAATTTCAAGTAAATTTGATCAAGAAATGATGCAAGAACTAATTAGTGAAATGGAGGACAAAAACCAAGTACTGAAAGAAAACAACTATCTGTTAAAACAAAAAATCGCATCTATCCAAAATGAGAAATTGGAGCCAATGAAGAAACCTGTTATTGAATCGACAGGTAACAGCTCAAACACCACTACTCAACAACAGGTGGCACCCCTTATCCGAACCTCGGTCCGATAATCAAAAGATGGCGCCTAAAGCACAAATAGAACCAAAACAAAAGGAATCTAATGTCGGAAGATTTGCAGAAAAAGAGCGGGGAAGAAACTGAATTGATTAACGCGCAAAGACAAATTATGGAAGAACTTATCCATATCCAGAACGACATTCAAGATGAAGACGGGTTCAAAAAAATAATATATAAAAGGAAACGTCAAACTCCAAAGGTCTATGGACAAAATGAAATGGAAAATGATATCGGTGTACCAAAGAAGGCCTGGCTTTATCTATACTGCGTAAGACGTCACATTACTTGCGAAAAAATTTATAATTTTATAAAGGGTTAGGGTTAACCGAAAATCATATGGATTCAATACTAGTAGCGCCATCTCTGTGGTGGCCTACGAACTTTTTAGCCTACCTAATTATTATTATGCTTTGTAAAGTCTGTTGTCACCTTTGAATAAACTCAAATTGAAATATTTTTTACAGGAGTTCAAGAAGATGCTTTAATGGCTGTCTCCACTTTAGTTGAAGTACTGGGTGAAGGATTCATAAAGTACATGGATGCTTTCAAACCATTCCTCTATCTTGGATTGAAGAACCACCAGGAATATCAAGTGTGTGGCACAGCCGTGGGCTTAACTGGCGATATTTTCAGAGCCCTCAAACTCAAAGTTCTGCCATACTGTGATGAAATAATGACACTGCTTCTAGAAAATTTAGGCGACCAATCTGTCCATCGCAGCGTCAAACCCCAGATACTGTCCGTATTTGGAGATATGGTTCTCAGCATTGGACCGGAATTCAAGAAGTATCTGGACGTCGTTCTATCGACTCTTGCTCAGGCTTCTCAGGCGCACGTCGATAGAAACGATTTCGATATGATTGATTACCTCAATGATTTGAGGGAGGGAGTATTGGACGCTTACACGGGAATAATACAAGGACTCAAAGGTGATGGCCCAGTTCCGAACCCAGACGTTATGATTCTTGAACCACACATTCCATTCATTGTGCAATTCATCACTGTGGTTGCGCAAGATAACGAACACTCTGATGGTACAGTTGCTGTAGCTGCCGGCATCGTAGGAGACTTGTGCACTGCTTTCGGGGCTCCGATGGTTCAGTTGTTGGATCTGGAGTCTATCAACGAAATGCTTGCGCAAGGAAGACGCAGCAGAATCACTAGGACAAAGACGTTAGCGACGTGGGCTACTAAAGAGCTGAGAAAACTCAAAGCTGCTAGTTCTACTACAGCTGCTGCTGCTAGTTGGTAAGCCGTTTTGAATTTTTTTTTTTTTTTTCTTCTGTAATTTGATGAGGAACGTTTTGCCACAATATTTTATTTTATTTGTATTTATTCACGAGTCCACACCTTTATTTACAAATTTACCACAATCATATGAACGAGATCTGTTGAAAAAATAAGGTGAATTTTCAAATATCGCGAGCTACGTTTTTTTTTTTTTTATAACAACAGCGTACAGTTCAACATAGTTAGGACACTATAAATATAAAATATGTTGTTATGCTCCCTAATCAGCAAAAATGCTGGTCTCGGGATTCACAAACGTTCAATATGACAAGTGAAACACAAAAACTAGTAAACCACTACAAAGCTCATAGTAGTAACGCATCAGACATGTGTCTCGAGGCTCAGACGTTCTTTTAAACTATTGA